ATATGCATTTCTTTTTATCTGAGCTGAATTTGACATAAAAAAATTGTGTTAATCATTTTAGGTTTAGCTCGTTTAACTGAGTTTAGCTTTGAGCTACTGTTGTTTAAATTTGATCTTTTAGCTACATTTAGAAATTTTTCAAATTCCTAGCTTTTAACTACAGTTTATTTTGGCATTGTGTTACTGCATTTATTTTGTAGCTGTTGTTTTGCTACATTTAGCTTTTAGCTATAGTTTTGTAAGTTTATCTCTAGTTTGCTCATTTTAGTTTTTAACTACTCGTCATCATTTTTGCTAATGCTTTTCTGGTTTTATCAACCGTTTTGCTCATTTTAATTTTCATCAACAATTTTGTTCATTTAAGTTTTTAACTACTGTTGTGCTAACAAGCTTGCCTTTTAGCTGTTCTGCTAACATTATGGCTTTAAGTACGTTTTTTTTTTTTTTGTCTGTAGCTTTTAGGTACAATTTAGCTATTTACAACTTTTAAAAACTTTCTGGGAATTTTAGCTTTTAACTATCGTTTTTCTAAATTTAGCTTACATGTAGCTTATTTTAACGTTGATCATACAGTTTCTGCCTCTATAACAAATTCCAGCTGTCATTCAGCACTTAGCATTCAGCTTGCTTGCATAAAATGAAAATCTTTCTAGTTTTGAACGACAGATTTTGTGACATTTGCAGCTTCTGGTGTGCACTGCTGGATTTTAAAAGCAGAAATGCGCATAAGATTAGAACTTACATTTCCATATTAAAGATTCGGATGAACTGTGCTGTTTTCAAAACACCACTGAGGTTAAATTTAACATTAAAAAAAACGATAAAAAGCTACAGTTTAAAGGACTTTTGAAACAAACACAACACCAGGACTTGTGAGACAACTCACCAGTGATGGTTCAGATCTTTTAGAAAGCACCTCAACAGATCTGTACCACTGCTTCAGGTTAATCATCCATTAAACGAACACCTGCATAAATTCTGATCCAATAAAGCCAAGCTTTCCACCAAATGAAAGAGTTTGACAGCTCAAAAGAGCTTGGACTGAGCTGGAGGCAGCTCTCTTTCTTCCACAGAAGCTGGCACATCTCACACAGCAAACTTAATGAAAACAAACATGTCTCTTCACTGTCTGCCTGTAACCAAAACACGACTGCAAATTGAACTTTTGTGCCAACTTTCACCGGACACGTAAGACTGAGTCTGCACTGAGTGAAGAGCAAACCCCAAAAAACATTTGTGTTGCTGGATTTTGTGATCTGTTCAGATCTTAAGGCAATTTAGTTGTCTAGATATTCATTGCTCTTAATACAAACGATCAGTTATGTTGCTGTGGCATCCAAATATTGACAGATTCAGATTGTTTAAATCAGTGGTTCCCAACGTTGGTCCCTGAGGAACACCATCCTGCATATTTTAGTTGTTTCTCTGCTCCAATACACCTGAATCAGTGATTAATTACTTCCTTAAGTTTGGCAGAAGCCTGTTAATCATTCAAATAGGTGTGTTGGAGCAGAAGAACAACTAAAACATGCAGGATGGTGTTCCTCAGGGAATGTGGTTGGGAACCACTGGTTTAGATATTGTTTAATAAATATACTAAAACCGGAGAGATTCTCCTCACCTTTGCTGCTGCAGTCCAGAAGTTTAGCATATTTATAGGTGCAAATGGAAACAGCTTCTGGCTTCACTTTAATTGGTGGATGACCTGGTTGTGGTTTGTCTCCGTCCTCCGTCCCTGTGTCTTCAGCACACAACAAGTCCACATTCAGCTTTTTCAGCTTCTGGCCCTTCTGTGAATATGGTTCTGCACACTTGGCATAGTTTCCCAGATTGCGGTTACTGGGAACCTGCAGGGTCCTGACCAGGCTGTCCAGCGGGCAGCGGCAGCTCCAAGGGTTGTCGAAGAACCGGAGGTAGGTGAGGCGGCGCAGAGGGAGCAGGACTTCTTCTGAGAGCATTCTTAGACGGTTGTGCTGAAGGAGCAGGGTGGTGAGCTGGGAGAGGCCGCTAAACGCATCATCTTCCACCACAGAGATGATGTTCTGCTGGAGGTCTAAGCTCTTCAGCTGGGTGAACTGGGCGAACATGTTGTCCCTCAAAACCTGAAGACGGAACAGGAATGTTTGAAATGGCAAGCTGAGATTCAAAATGTCTTAGACTAAACACAACTAATGAATTAAACTTTAAGGCAACAAGACTAAATTCAATGATGCCCTGAGACAGTCAAAATACAGAGTCTGCTTTCAGTGAGATGCCTGAACTTTGGCACAAAAGATGATGTCAGACAATTTAACTGACTTGAATGATGATTGGTCCAACGGATGCAATGTGAGCTGTTTGCCATATTTATTGTTAAAAAATGCCCACACATAAATTTGTGGTGAGAACAAAATAAATGCATATTTCTTCGTTCATCTTGGAAAACTTATTTTCTAAGTTTACCTTTCTTTTGTTTGCACATTAGGCAACTCCATGACAATGTGACGTAACACCTTTATACTTCCTTAGTTTCTGATAATGACACCAACAGAAGATGAAGCTGCAACCTGCTTTGATTGCCAAGGTGAAAAGTGATCCGAGGTGGGTATGATGTGGATAAAGGTGGGCTTCAAGATACTGCACAGCCTAGGATTTAGCTTTGCAAGCCATGCGCACAAAAATAGAACATGCAAAACTCGGTTTCATGACAAACTCACAATTCAGTGAGACTGCAATGGAAAATGAGCTAATTTTCTCCTAATTTTAAGCCAAAATTACTAGTTTCCAATAGTGGCAGCCCAGTGGGATACTGCCTATACAGACAGAACATCACTGCCTCCCTCGCTTGTTCCTGTGCACTCTCTCACACTAATTTTCATTGCATCCTACCAATGCATTTCAGTGCAATGCAAAATAGGTTCTGTCCACCAAGGACGAGTCAGGTTTTCTGGACGGATTCTTCTTGTTGAAATATTTTGTCTTTTATTCAAAAGACTTCTTCAGTCTGTGGAGCTGCAATAAACTCAGTCTTATAAGCAACACCTTTTCATTCATAGTGGATCAGCCAGTTTGCTGGTGACAGCTAAAACCGGCTGCTCACATGATCAAGGAGGACCATCAGCCTAACGACCAATCGTTAGTGCCCTGATGGCTGTTTGCTAATCACAGAGGGCTGAGTGATTCTAGCAATACCAGCAATGAGAGAGGGGGACAGTTGAACCCAGAGGCTTCCACCCCTGTTTAATGATGGACAGTTTCTTTTAACAAAGATGGCCTCCTTTACTCCTCTCTCAAACCATCGTTCCTCTCTGTCCAGGATGTGAACATCTTCCTCCCTGAAAGAGTGACCGCTGGCCTGAAGATGAATGTAGACCGCAGAGTCCTGGCCTGATGATGTTGATCTTCTGTGCTGGGCCATCCTTTTGGCCAGTGGCTGTTTTGTTTCCCCGATGTAAGACTGATCACAGCCCTCCTGACACTGAACAGCATACACAATATTACTCTGTTTGTGCCGGGGGACTGGATCTTTGGGATGAACCAGTCTTTGCCGTAATGTATTTTGGGGTTTAAAAGCCACTGGGACGTTATGTTTAGAAAATAAACGTCTCAGTTTCTCTGATACTCCCTCAACATATGGAACGACCACTGGTCTGGGTCTGGGTTCCTCCTTTTCACCTGATGGCTGACTGGAGTCCTGTCTGGGTTTCTTCTCTGCTTTTAGGAAGACCCAGTTAGGATATCCACATTGCTCTAGAGCCTGTCTTGTGTGGGATTTCTCCTTCTGCCTGGCTCCTGAGTTAGTGGGGACGCTGTCTGCTCTGTGGTACAGAGTCCTGATGACTCCTAACTTGTGCTCCAAAGGGTGATGGGAGTCAAACTGCAAATACCGGTCTGTGTGGGTGGGTTTGCGGTACACCTCAGTTTGCAAATGTCCTCTATCAGAGACTGAGACTTCACAGTCCAAGAAAGCCAACCTGCCATTTTTTACATCTTCTCGTGTGAACTTGATGTATTTATCCACA